AACTCAAATTCAAATCAAATTGGCATTATTGGCATATCAAAAACAGTATTGTCAAATCATGTTGTACAGTTACAACAACAAAATAAATAAAAATAACACTATTCATACATTATAACACATAATACATGTGGCTCACAGCAAACAATAATAAATGGCAACAATAACATGTAATTAAAAATAACTCACCATTCTTGTTTTTGCCACAGATCAGATGCTCGTACCCCTGCAGGACCCCCCACAGCTCCGCGTCGCTGTTCACGGTTCCCTCCAGCAGCTCCACGGTCACCGGGCAGCAGCACACCTCTCCGCCGGGCAAAAGCTCCTCTTCTTCGGCCAAACGCACAACCCGCACCGCCCGTCCCACCACCTCCTCCGTCAAACTCTCCACACATGCTGCGAGACACACTGCCGCGTACTCATGCACACGCACCGACACACGCGTCTCCACCATCCACCTGAAGAAGCGGCCAACGGACAGCGTGAGCCCGCAGCGCGCGGACTTCCCCCTCTGGCGCGCGGGGTCCCCGGAGCTCATGCAGTGCAGAGACACCGCCTTCACCGCGGAGGAGATGCACTTGTCGGCCAGAGACCAGCTGAGCACCAGCCTCACCGCGCTCTGAACCTCCAGGCGTGTGCACCGTCTGTGGAGCTCACTGAGCCGCTGCGCCTCGCGGGAGATCCGCACCAGAGCGCGCCGCAGCAGAGAGGAGAGCCGCTGGAGAGCCTCCTCTGTGATGGATGTATGCGAAACTTTACGCACGACTTCCCGCAGCTCCTGCTCCGTCCACGGGTACTCCTCCACCTCGGGCAGGCGGGGACACTTGAGCAGGAGGTCCGAGGCCTCCTCCGGTAATGAGCTCACCGTGTCCCAGCTACCGTCTCTGCTGCTCAGAGAGCCGCCGTGCCGCTTCCAGGCTCCCCGCAGAGGAGTGCTGCTGTGCGGCGGAGACTGCCTCGACCCACCGGATGAGGACAGGCTGAGGGACGGGCTGAGGTCCCCGGTCACATAGCCCTGATCCAGGCTCAGGTCCTCCAGGTTCTTCACCAAAACACTGCTGGACATGATGTAGATTTGTTTTACGCACAGTGGAGTAAAACGTTTTCCATGAAGTCTAAGTTTCCCTGGAAGAAGTTCAACTGCCCAGATCAGACAGCTGTGCCACAACTGACCAAAACATGAAGAGGGGAGAGAACTGTTTTACGCACGAACCAATCACATCCAGACTCCATAATAATAACACAGGTGAGTTTACCGATAGCGCCTCCCTGTGGCCAAACTAATGATTACAGAACTGGGTAAAAAAGCTGCCCCATCTGCTTGGAATAATGTACAGAAGGAGCTGAAACTGTCAGATTTGATCACTTTGGTGGAATTCAAGCCCATCTTGAAGGACAGAGAACAAGAATCCATTGGTCGATGTGATTGCTCGTATATCCCATAATTGAAGTCGTTTTAAATTGTGCCAGTTTTGAATGATTGATTATGTGCCATTTAATTTTCGCTGTATTCGTCTGCCTGTATTGTCTGTGTTTTATCTGTTGTAACTTTGTTCATGCTAACCTTCTTGGCCAGGTCGCTCTTGGAAAAGAGATTTTAATCTCAATAAGACTTATTACCTGGTTAAATAAAGGATATATATTACAACAAAAACTGAGGCTGAGTAGCATTTACTGCTGTTTGTTATGGGTAACAAACGTAAGATGAAAACATGTCATACCATTTGAAGCACACTTAATTTAAGTATATAAAGATGACCTCTCCAAAAAGATGTTTGAGTGTGGCTATTAATATCATATTCATTTATTTAAATGGGAAAATCTGGAACTTGGTTTTAAAAATGCAATGAAATTAAGTCCAATTGTTAACTTATCTATTAAACCCATCTGTCACATTTAAAATTGATTGATTGCTGGTTGATTGCTGATTGATTGCTGCAGATACGTTTTCTGTTAAACCACTCATGGTTGTACTTGCTTAAATATAATGTTGGGTGGTTTATTTATACCAAATAATCATATTTGAAACGTTTTTCCTAAGTGTTGTGTGTCAAAATCTGAATATATAAAGTAAATACATCTGTTAAATAAAGTAGTGGAGTAAAAAGTACCAAATTGTCTTTCAAAATGTTGTTGAGTAGCAAGAAGTATAATGAAGTATAAAATGAAAATACTTGGGTGAAGTACACGTTTCCAAATGTGTACTTAAGTACAGTACAGATCCAGATCAAACCAAACAGCTTTTTTCAGCACACACAGAAAAAACACACAACAACTCAAGAATGATAAAAGTTGTATTGTTTCAGCTCCAGGATTTCATCACTTTCTTCAAACTCCTAACAAAAGGTGCTGTAAGTTTAAATATACAACAAATCTAAAGCCAAGAACATTACATGAACACTGTGTTTATCCTCCACATTCTGACATGAAGTGCTTACAAATGTCATCCTTCTATAACTTATTACATTTCAATTGTAAACTAGCTGCAAATTGGTTCAATGGTGGCTTCTTTGATACACATGTTTATACCAGATGGACTTTTAGTATTTAAATACAGTCAAATGTCATAAAAAGCCAGAACATATTCACATAATTCAAAAACAATGGTATTAAATTGCATGACTTTGAATATTTCCAATCCAATCTGTTGTCATTTTGATGATTTCTACATGTTTAAAACTCTTTTTACAACATTTCTACTTTTCAAGACTATGTCTCGTAGTCATGCTTAAACCTAAAACGACCACAAGATGTCGACCTTTCACTATTTTCTAAGCACAGAGCTGAAGAAATGGGAACATGGCTTCTGGCTTCTCTACAATACTGTACAAACACAATGCTAATCTGACATCCACATTCTGCTCTGCACGGCTCAAAACACAAAAAGGCTATTTTCAACCGTTAAAGGAGCTCAGCAAATATTCCAGTTCTTGAAAATCGTTGAGCACAAGAGCGGTGCAATTTACAAAGAAGATAAAACAATAAATTACTGAGCTATAAAGAAACACTAAAACTAGCTCAATAGAGTGGTGCAGGAATGAGTCCTTAGACTCAATGGTTTTCGGGCCATACCGAGTTTTTCAAGTATTTGAACTCTACCAAGAGTTGAAATACAGTATTTCCAACTTCTAGTTTGAACGGCCATTTGGAATTCTGAAAGGGTTAGAAATGGATTCAACATCTTAAAACAAAAAAAAAACACTCATCTTTTTCATATAACATATTCTAAATTGGCCAAGCAGTTGTTGTGAAATATTGTCCTTATAGCCTATAATGCTAATCATCCCCAATTTACTGCAACCTATGCTAACTACGCAAATGGCAAGTTAGCATCTAACAGTTTCCTATTGCTGGTGACCCTTACTTCACATTTAAAACATTAAACTTTGGGGTCCCAACATTTGCAGTTTGACATTGCTGGCAACTATCTAACAAGTGTCTAAATGAGACGCCTACGTCATGTGACCGTGCTGTAGTTCCTTTAATTATAGTCCTACATTAGCTTGTTACTTCAAAAATCATAAATTCATGTTAATATGTGGAGTAATCTCCACATATTAACATGAATTTATGATTTATGATTTATGCTGAACAAAACGTGTAAAATTCATAAACGTTGAGATTATTTTCTCCAATAACCCTAATTGGAAAATCCCATTGGCTTTTTTTGGAGGGAACCAGGGTGGGTGATGCTGCCTTCAGGGTCCTACTTCAAAAATAGGACTTCCCTGCACCACTCTATTGGTTTCAATGCGTACAATCATGACAGTGAGCCAGCTCACCATCTCAGAGGTTTCAGTCCAACTCCTGAAAAGTTGCTTTTTGTCCTCGTGTTAAATTCCTCCGTTGTTGTGCAACGTTCAAACATCAACAACGTCCACAGAAGAACTGAAGCCGATCCAAATAAGGCATCAAGACATTAGTACAAAAAATAAAACTGTTACTCTGCTAGCAAACACTTTACAAAGGCCGACTGAGAAACACTTTGGTTCTCTCACGGAAACGTTACAAAACTACAAAAAGTGTATTTGCTTGTAAAGGGTGATTGCCTCTAAGATGTCCGTATGCTTCGTTATAAAACTCCATCAAAGAGACTTTCCGGGTATTTCAGAACAGGAAACATTTCCAAGTGTCTGTAAAATTGGCACAAGCTATCAAAATGCAAATAACATGCAGAGTGAGAGAGGTGTGATTTAAAAACGATTCAATTGTGAAATACTTAGAAAGACGATGTTAGGTAAGTTTGTTCTGCAAAGATTCTTGGGTTTACCTTGTGTTAAGTAATTAAATACTTAATTATTTTCAAATCAATTTACACTATTATCAATATTTTTGCAATTTAACACATTCATCCCGTTGGCACTATGATGACATTTGGAAAGAAATATGATACTGCAATATAAATAAGATTCAGGATTTTGGAGGGAATTATTATTTTCCCTTCATAATAGCCTATACTAAAATGGTCATGGTTGGGATTTATCTTGTATGGATTTGCACCAAACAAATATTACATGACATGTCACTTGTTAGACGCTTTTATCCAAAGCGACTTATATACTCAATACTGTGGGCAATCCCCACAAGAGCAATTTGGGGTGAAGTGTCTCAGGGACACAACGACATGCTAACTGCAGTGGGGTTTGAACCTGTGACCCCCTGATCTGAACACCAACGCACTAGTCCACTGCGCCACACGCCTCCTATGATATGAATTTCTTAAGACTGTAGAATAGTTTCTGCAGCACCATAACACACTGATTACAGGGAGGCGTGTGGCGCAGTGGACTAGTGCGTTGGTGTTTGGATCAGGGGGGCACAGGTTCAAACCCCACTGCAGTCAGCATGTCGTTGTGTCCCTGGGCAAGACACTTCACCCCACACTGCTCCTGTGGGGATTGTCCACAGTATTGAGTATGTAAGTCGCTTTGGATAAAAGCATCTAACAAGTAACATGTACTCTAATGTAATGACTAAAATCAGATTTTTTTTAAGTATTCTGTCTTTAACAAAAGTTGCGCCTCCTCTAATTGACTCTTACTTACATTTTGATGAGATTATAAGATTGGTTTTACTAGGGTCAGTATTTAATCTACATAAAGTTGGAAGACAGTTTAAAAACACAATGGCCACATTTCAATCCCAATTATATCAAGCGCCAAAAAACACCAACATCCTACACTTCCCATAATGCAACACAACATCATTTCTCATAGTCCCTCCCTTCCTGGATAACATCCCACATATTTTGGACTTCACACGTCAGTTTACAGATTTACTTTACTATTTAAATTCAGTTCGATATGATCAGGGTTTTTTTTTTTACCCTTTTTGACTCGACAAAGTTCCTGCAGAGCAACATTTGACAAACTGTCACTATTATATATTATATTATACATACTTGAATACCTTATGGAGGAAATATTCTTTGTCATCACTTTTTTTAGAAAGTTACAGAAAGTTAGTAGTTTACTTTGTCTCTTAAAAATCAACAAGTAAGATAACCAAAATGATTATTGTTCCAGAAACTGATGACACATTTCTAAGCGATTATTGCTAGATAATATTTCTATAGTTCTTTGCCAAAATTCTCATGTCACCAAAGTGCGTAATCTGTACCTTAACAGAACATTTAATGAACCAAACAAAGCCGATTTGTGCAGATAATCGAATAAATCGCTGCTACTTTCAAGGAATATTCAGAGCCTTAGTTTCCTCGGATGCTTCCCAGGAAAATCGACAAATCATATCATCAAAATAATTACTGGTCCTGAAACTGATGACATATTTTAAGCAATTATTGCTTCACATTGATAATCTGACAATACTTCTGTAGTGTTTCACAAACATATTACTGTAAACCTCCAAAGTGCCTGAATCTGCAGGTAATTTAACGGAGCTGATGCATGCTTTGAATCACCGAATCGTTTCAGATTGAATGAAATATCCGCAGCCTAAGTTTCTACCAATGCTTCCTTGGAAAATTGAGAAAACATATAACCAAAATGATTGCTAGTCCTGAAACACCTGACATATTTGAAGCATATTATTGCTCCACAATGATAATCTGACTATACGTCTGTAGTTCTACATCAACATTATGTATGTAAACCATCACCAAAGTGCCGACACTGGAACATTTAACAGAGCCGATTTCATGATATATCCGCAGCCTAAGTTTCTTCCAATGCTTCCTTGGAAAATTGAGAAATATATAACCAAAATGATTGCTTGTCCTGAAAACACATGACATATTTTAAGCATCTTATTGCTCCACAATGATAATCTGACTATACTTCTGTAGTTCTAGTTCTGGAACATTTAACGGAGCTGATCCGTGCTTTACAGTAAATCGCTGAATCAGAGCTGATTTCATGAAATATCCGCAACCTAAGTTTCTTCCAATGCTTCCTTGGAATATATGAAATATATAACCAATGATAATCTGACTATACTTCTGTAGTTCTACATCAACATCATGTATGTAAACCAAACATTTAACGGAGCTGATGCTCAGAGCGTATTTCATGAGATATCCTCCGCCTGAGTTTCCTCTGACGCTTCCTTTGAGTCCTGGTTCTGGTTCTGGTTCCTGTTGCTGGGCAGATGGGAGGCCTGCTCCAGCAGCTGCTCCAGGTACCGGTCCTCCGCCCTCTCCTCCTCCGCAGACAGACTCTGGGGGGGGGCAGCGTGCATCACGGGGGCCGAGAAGGTCCGCGGGATCCTGCAGGAGTGAGGGGCCACGAGAGAGGAGTCGTCTGTGGAGGAAGGGGAGCGTTGATCTGTGTTTTTATCTGGGGTTTCCTCCGGGGGCCGGTAAGGCGGAGGGCCCGTCAGCGGGGAGCCGTCGGGGGGGAGCTGGCTGTGGATGATGACCCTGGACTCCTCCTCCTGCTCAGGGTCCAGGTCCAGGTCCCGGGGGTCCTTGGAGGGGCTCTGGTCAGGGGAGTCGATGATGTTCAGGCTGAGGCCGGCTGCGGAGGTCTTCCCTCTGGGGGGGGGCAGCTCGAGACCCAGAGGCAGACGGGGACGCTCCTCTGGCTTTCCTGAAAAACCAAACAGGTGCATTTAAGTCAGTGGTTCTCTAACTTCTTGTGTGTTTGGAGAAAAAAAAAAGTCGGGGCCCCCCCAACACAAATAGTCACGTAATGGGCCAAGTTAACATTTATTAAAATACATCAATATGAACGTGAGCATTCCTTTCAAAAAATTTAAAAAATCACTTTGCTAGAACAGTGATAATAAAACAATGCTCCAGAAGTCTGTGTGCTCAAAAATTATAATAAATAATATAATTGTGCAATCGCTTTGCTAGATCAATAACCTATAATACTTTGCCACTTTGCAATCTGTGCAAAGAAATGAAAAGAAAGAAAATGCTGATATTTGGCAAAGAAGTGTGTCTTATCACAGTGGCTGCAAAGAGCCGGTTTTTGCACTGCACATTTTTTCAAATCGGGGTTGCAGGCTTGACCTTCCATCCTCATCATGTGCATTACTTAGTAATATATATCTACTATCTAATATATATCATTCCAATAACTTGTATATAGACTCGTACTGCACTATTCCACATACTCACTTTATTTTAGAACTATTTTTCTTTTTGTATTACTTTTACTATCTGTATTATTATGTTGCATTGTTGGAGAAGCCTGTGACATAAGATTTTCAACGACATAATTACTCTGTAGCTATGTTAGTTTGACAATAAAGAACCTTGAACCTTGAACACACCTGTGTCTTACAGCGTCCTCATAGGTTTCTCAGTGTCACTACACGACACAACAGTTTAGTGTTTCCGCCGGTCATGCCGACGTTGTCATAACAATTGTTCCTCCTGGTCTCTCGCCCCCCCCCCCCTGTCATGCCTCTGTGCCCCCCACTTTGAGAAACACTGATTTAAGTTAATGTTGTTGATTATAATTGACTTAACCCATAAAGGGAAACAACTAGATTCCCTTAAGCATTTAATTAGCATAACATATTTTGTATATAAAATGTATTTTTTGTTCTATTTTTTACAAAAACACCTGTGATATTTCAAAAAAACTGCGAACTGGGTTCAAATTCTGAAAGCAGATGGTTAAGATATTTAATTATGCTTCACATAATTAAATATTATAATATGAATATATTATATATGTTTATATAAGGTAGAGATGTGTGTTTGAAAGAAACTGCGTACTGGGTTCAAATTCTGAAAAATGATGGTTAAAATTGTTTAATTCTGTGAACCATATTGTAATATTATAATATTCGTCTATTATATATTTGTATGGCCCTTTATTAAGGTAGAGATGACTTCCTCTGTGAGGTACTGTAAAGAAGTCATTTATTTGAAAAATATCCTCAAATAATTATGTTTTTATCTATGAGTGTGTATTCAGGTTTAACCCATGCAACACACTCAGGGACTTTCAGTGAGTGTGTAGGTCTGTGAAGGTGTGTGTAGGTGTGTGTAAGTGTGTGTAGGTGTGTGCAGATGTGTGTAGGTGTGTGTAGATGTGTGTAGGTGTGTGAAGGTGTGTGTAGGTATGTGTAGATCTGTGAAGGTGTGTGTAGGTGTGTGTAAGTGTGTGTAAGTGTGTGTAGGTGTGTGTAGATGTGTGTAGGTGTGTGAAGGTGTGTGTAGGTATGTGTAGATCTGTGAAGGTGTGTGTAGGTGTGTGTAAGTGTGTGTAGGTGTGTGTAGATGTGTGTAGGTGTGTGAAGGTGTGTGTAGGTATGTGTAGATCTGTGAAGGTGTGTGTAGGTGTGTGTAAGTGTGTGTAGGTGTGTGCAGATGTGTGTAGGTGTGTGTAGATGTGTGTAGGTGTGTGAAGGTGTGTGTAGGTATGTGTAGATGTGTGTAGGTGTATGTAGATGTATGTAGATGTGTGTGTAGATGTACCTGGAGGAGGAAGGTCGAGCTTCCTCTTCCTCAGCTCCATCATGGAGCTCTGCAGCTGCTCGATGACCTCGTCGTCACTGAAGTAAAACGTCTGAGCGATTCTCTCCTGCAGAAACTCTCTGAGCTCCTCCAGAGACATCTTCAACATGCGCCCTACACACACACACACACACACACACACACACACACACACACACACACACACACACACACACACACACACACACACACACACACACACACACACACACACACACACACACACACACACACACACACACACACACACACACACACACACACACACACACACACACACACCACACACACACACACACACACACACACACACACACACACACACACACACACACATTATGTATCAACTAAAGAAACTACGTTCATAATACTTTTTGACTTATTCTTTAATCAGACAAATGATTATTGAAATCAAAATGATGACTTTTCTTTTTGATATACTGTTTGATAGAGAAATAACAATTTTAGGGTTTCTTTAATTCAATGGATAAGTATGAATGTTCCAGTCCTTACTCTTGTGTATCTTCAGGATGGTGTAAGACATGGCGGTGAGAAGCCTCTCTCCCTCCAGGATGAAAATGTCCCAGAGACGAAGAGTCAGCGTGAACGGCGTCTGCAGGAAACACAACACAACAAATCACACACCAACAGACGGAGGAACAGCTTCTATCCGAGAGCTCTCCATCACTCCCACCCCTGTCCAACTAGTAGAGGAACTAAGGCCCCTAAAAGTTGAGATACCCCTACCCGAGGTAGAACAAAGCACAACCATGTTTTTTCATTACTTTAATATGTCTAGTTTATGAGTCGGATGGTTGTATACAAATATGTTGTGGTGTGGGGAGAGGTGTTTTGTTTGTGTGTGTCCCCACCAGAGGTGGGAAGTGGTGGAGTACAAATACTTCGTTACTGTACTGAAGTACATTTATCTGGTATCAGTACTTTACTCCACTACTTATTTTCTGATGACTTTTAACTTTGACTTCTTACATTTTGAACCCAAATACCTGTACTTTCTACTTCTTACATGTTGAACACAAATACCTGTACTTTCTACTTCTTACATTTTGAACTCAAATACCTGTACTTTCTACTTCTTACATTTTGAACACAAATACCTGTACTTTCTACTTCTTACACTTTGAACACAAATACCTGTACTTTCTACTTCTTACATTTTGAACACAAATACCTGTACTTTCTACTTCTTACATGTTGAACACAAATACCTGTACTTTCTACTTCTTACATTTTGAACTCAAATACCTGTACTTTCTACTTCTTACACTTTGAACCCAAATACCTGAACTTTCTACTTCTTACATTTTGAACACAAATACCTGTACTTTCTACTTCTTACACTTTGAACACAAATACCTGTACTTTCTACTTCTTACATTTCCCAAACAGGCTGGTTCCTTTAGTTTGAATGTGTGTTTGGTGGCGTGATCATTATTATTTAGAGTCATTGCGTGCCTATTGATTTGAACACGATCCGTGTATCCATCATTTCCTGGTCTTCTCTAAAGAAGAGGGACCAATGAAAACGTTGTCATGTTGCCGTTGTTCAGCATGGAAACATTCATTAGCTAACAATGACATTATTGTTCTATTAATATAAAGGGAGGTCAGGTACTCTTTAAAACAGCTGCTAGTTATGGGTACTTTTTACTGAAGTACATTTCAAAGCCCATACTTCTTTACTTTTACTTTAAGAAGTTTAGTCAGTACTTCTACTTTCACCAGAGTATTTTTAAACACAAGTATCTGTACTTCTACTTGAGTAAAGGATGTGTGTACTTTTGCCTTCTCTCTCTATATCACTGCCACTTCATTCCCTGTGTTTACGTCAGAGTTTCTGCCTCTTTCTGCTCGTGTCCAGAGTCAGGAGGTTTGTTGGTTTGCTCTCAGACCTCAGAGGCCCCGTGCCCCTCGCAGTAAAGTGCTGACAGCGGCTAAAGCTGCCAAACCACCACCGCAGGATTGTGGGTAAGCACGGAGGAGACTAATAGCAGTTCAACTTCACAGCTCTTAATGCTCTCTTATAAAGTCCCAGAGCTCAAATATCAACATTTTCTGCTGAAACCATGAAAAGTTATCTTTAAAAAAAGGCAATTCTGTTTTGGTAATAACTTGCTGTTGTAAAGAAGTGATGTTTTCTGTAGATAAAGTTTGACTTACTGTGTAATGTTGACTATTTATTTAGATGATATCCACATTAAAATGACTCTGCTCCATGGATTTGATTTGGCTAGATTCACAGCGTATAGTATGAGATTTCTTTGTAATAGAGTCATTCAAAATAAGATATTTAAGGACAGTTTTACACTTTTCTTTTGTTTCTATTCATACACAGAATTCACACACATAGCGGTCTTTACAAACACCTTTAAAGTAACGTTTTTATATACTAATAATTGTATATTTCTGTATAGGATGTTAATGTATTTACTTAGTTTACAATCATTGTGATTATTTATTTATCTGTTTTACTAATATCCTTTTTCTTCTTGGGGAGTATACATTTGTACCCGTATTTTATTGGAAAAACCAAATGAGAATAAATGGGGAAAAAATTGCGGAATAGTCGTTTTCATGTGTATTTGTCTGTCCTTAAATAAACCAATAATAAATAAATTGTAAATTGGACATTCAAATGTTACTTTTCCTTAGGTTTCCTCCCAAAAGATTCATTTAAATACAAATGTAATGTAAAGGACACTCTTAATCTGATAAAAAAGATCATACGTTGTCCTGTGGATTATGAATTGTTATCTTTGCAATGATATATCATAATGATGATATCTGTCCAAATGTGACTTTACATGTTTTTTAACTGGTGTAGGAGCCAATTAACACTGTGGGTATAAAGGTAGGAACCAATGTTTGTGGTTAGAGGTTCCGCCGGAAGGCCATACAGTTTTTGACCACCCACGGAACACACACACGAAGAACACACACGGGGTGTTTCTCAATGTCGAGGAAGGCTGCTCCAGAGCCACTATTTCAAGGATGCTACGTCATCGAGTCCCGCCGAAGGACTGTTCCAATGTCCAGGATGCTTGGAATTCTACCGAGGCCGGCGTACTTCGTTGCGGGAAATTTCGAGGCTGCACATGTGTATCCTCCGTGGTCTTAAAATCCCCACAATGCTTTGCGCACGGACCAATTTCCCAAATCTTTGGTGGAAATCGCACTCCATTTAAGGCGGGGCCTCGGAAATGACGCACACCTGTTAGCCTGTTCCACAATTCTTCGTTTTCCGAGGCTAGGAAGGATTCTTGCCTCGCTTCTGAAGGACCTGACTCGGAGGGACATGTCCTACCAAGGAAGCGTCCTCGACATTGAGAAACACCCACGGAGAACACACACAGAGAACACACATGTAGAAAACACACACACACACACACACACACACACACACACACACACACACACACACACACACACACACACACCACACACACACACACACACACACACACACACACACACACACACACAAACACACACACACACACACACACACACCACACACACACACACACACACCACACACACACACACACACACACACACACACACACACACACACACACACACACACACACACACACACACACACACACACACACACACACACACACACACACACACACACACACACACACACACACACACACACACACACACACACACCACACACACACACACACACACACACCAAACGTTTGCTAAAGGTATTGTGTGAACCGTTGATATCGTGTATGGGGAATGAGAAAACAAAGCAAGTTAAATGGAAACCAGTGAAAAGGAAATAAATGGACTGTATTTAACTGGAAACTTTGCATCGGACTTTTATTCTACTGGCAAACTTTGTGTGCGTCAATTACGCCAACATAGCGGATCCTCAGAGGCTTAAAGCGTTGGCTTAGCCTCTACAACTACAGCACAATAATTGAGTTTTCTGACCCTGTCGATGAAGCACTGCAGGAACCACTTTGTGCTGTAGATCCCCGCAGACATCTGCTCCCTGTCCTGCAGACGGAGAGAGAATCACATTAACATCACAACACCGACCCCAACCCCACACACTCTGTCAATGTGTGCTTTTAAAATTGGGCTGTATCAATAAAATGTGATGGATTGACACATCTGACATATTGTTGCTGTGTCTTCGATGTGTTTGTGTCAGTGAGATCTCACCAGATGTTTCTTCAGCTTGGGGTTGAGTTTGGAAATGATCTGATCGTGATGAGTCTGAAAGCGCTGCAGTTTGGGGAAACCCGGGACAAAAAACCCTGAAGAAGAAAGAGAGGAGAGAGGCGTTTCTTAATCACACTTCAGATTCAAACATCGTCATTGGCGTACAGTCGAAGTACTGCCAAAGCATTTTCAGGAATATTGGTGAAAACAATAAACATCTTTACATGTACATTCTGAATACCGTTAGTATATTGGTTTTGAACAATAGCAGAATTAACAGGCTTTTTTTTCTTCAGGAATCATAATTACTATATTTTGACATCAACAAAAACAATTTAAAAAACAACCGCTTACTTAACCCCTAATCTGATAAATGAAAGTAGTAAAATATTAAAAGTTATTTGATCTCTTATCGGACATTTTACTTCTTCTTATATTTATATGAGTATCAATTCAATTTTATCCAATTTATGTTTTATTTTTTGTTATTCTTAAATGGAGCGACTATCACAAAACCCAATTTGCTCCGCTGGGATATATAAAGTATTCTATTTCTGAATAAGGTCAAAATAATAAACTCAAAATCACGTCACAGTTCCTGTAGAGGGAAATAAGTCCAACATTTGTTTCCTTTTTCTGAGCATTTCACCTTAAAACAGATGCATGAGTCACATTGGATGTTCCTGTGAAGCTTGCTGCTGTTTCTCACATACACAGTGTGAGTGTGTGTGTGTGTGTGTGTGTGTGTGTGTGTGTGTGTGGTGTGTGTGTGTGTGTGTGTGTGTGTGTGTGTGTGTGTGTGTGTGTGTGTGTGTGTGTGTGTGTTCTCACCGTGCATGCCGTGTGTGTGGTGTGTCAGCAGCTGCGACAGCGCCCAGAAGGCGTCCTCCTCGTTCAGGAACATCAGCAGCAGAGCGGCGATCTGACTCATCCCCTGACAGTAGCTCACCTCCTGCAGGACACAAATAAACAACAACAACAACAACAAGGGAGAGTCAGTTGTGTCGTGGAAATATAACATGTATAAAGCTTTAAAAGTCCTATTTTGTCAGCGAACAACCCAAAGATATTGTTAATTATATTATATTACAAGGAGAAAAGCAGACAATCTACATTTGGGTGCATTTTCTGCAATTCCTTAATGAAAAAACACGTTTACGATCAATTGTTTATCACAAAGGTTTACGACTAATCGATAAATCCACTTTAACAACATTAATTAGTTTCAAGAGCAAAGCATTTAAAAATCTTTGCACACTTGTTAGAGAACAGAAAACACTCCTCTCATTTTATATCATTAGTTACGTTTGACTTGTAACTCTTGTTGAGCTCTGAAGCAGTAATCCTGATAATAGAATAATAAATATCACAGTGGCTCTTTCTGGCGCGTTTCCACTACAGCGCGGAGCCCGGTTTAAGAGAGCTGTGACGTCAGCGGCCCGTCTTTGGTTGCGTTTCCACTTGGCCTAGTACCGGCCGGCGGGTCCTAATTCACAGTTTTTCTGGCCTCATAAAATCGTGGTTCTAGGGCCAGAGACAACGAGGCTGAGTCGGGCTGAGTATGCTAAACTAGAGAGAGAATCGCTGGCAAGGGGGCTACAACTACAACAAGATGGACATATTTGACCGTGATTTAATTGTAATACACGTTTCAAAATGATGCCGAAGTAACAACATACTGATACCGGTTAGTAAAAACCATGAATTAATGCTTTGTCAAGTCTGCAGACAGACGGCAGGCGAAAAACCTTTTAAAATGCGTGTTTTCTAAATGGAGATTGGCTAAGCTAACGCAGTATATGCTCCGACTGTCCACACTCACAACAACGGCCTATACAGACATAAATAAAGCAGCGACTGTATTCGCCATGACACAGGCAGTCTGTGGTTTGTACTTGTTTAACTTTTGTCTAGTTTCTGAACATATATGAGGAGCTGTGAGCTCTGAGTGCTAACAGCTAACGGCTGTGTTGTTTTTCTGGGGTTTTCATTGAAGATGACGTCACGGCTCCGCCTACACTGCGTTACTATAGATACTACCCCAGTTCCTAAACTGTAATGGAAATGCGCCATAAAGTGAGCCAGTCCTAACGAGGCCTAGCCATACCGAGCGAGGCCGAGCGAGGCCGTGTAGTGGAAATGCGCCAGAGTCCTTTAATGGCTGAATATAATCATATCGAGGCGCTGTATTAAAACAAATGTGTGGATTATCCTGCATGCTGTGCAGATCCTTGCAAGAGTAGCCTGAGATGATGCTAACGTTAGCGACACACAGGATGGGCTGTTGTGTTTGATTTGGGAGATTAGTATGGGGCAGCTTAGTCTAAAAGCACTACCATTTCAAGTTTTTGACCAAAACACTATTGAAGTCTAGGTTTGGATACATGAACTTACTGTGTTGTAGACGGAGTATGCAGAGAGGACGCTGAAGAGAGCCTGCTGCCTGCACACAGGAACACAGAGGAAGTTAAAGAACCTTTCTATGAATGATGTGACACTGATTTATCTCCTAAACTGTTTTCTATTAATAGTCACCATAAAGTAAGTCGGCCATTAGAGGTGTTACCTTCATGTCTAAAAATGTAACATACATATTATTGTTAAAGATGTTAATGGCGAACCCAGAAAGGGAAATACAGCTAATAGGATCTAAACAAACAAACAAATAAATAAACATGGTGAGACTCCTCAGATAAGAAGGAAATAAAACAGGCAAGCTACGACAGAATAAAAAAACCGAACAAATGTATTTTTTACAGTCAAAATACATTTAAAAGAAGACAAAAAAAATAAAAAAATAAAATAAATATAAAGAAAACAGACAAAACTGAACACAAATGTAGGGTCCCCTATTATACTCTTTGTCAACAATAGGATTGTTGACAATATGATTGTTGACAATATGATTGGTTTAAGAAAAACACAATGGTGCTCTAGGAGGACCTTCAGGTGATAATGATATCTAAAAGACATGAAAAAGTGACCTTTGAATACACAAACAAAATAGAATAAAGAACATTTCCAAGAATACATACAATACATCACAACAAATAAATAAACCTTAACAGAGACCAGAGGCCTGTACTACGAAGCCGGATTTTCGCTTAGCCGGCTGACTTCAGGGAAAACTCGGGCTTTCCGGTCCTACGACGCTGGTTCTCTTTTTAGCGGGCTAGATCTCCATGGTAACTTATGCTGAGCGGCTAACCTCCTCGGGAGGAGGTTAGGTTGCAGGCTAAGAGATCAACTCAGTGAAAGCACCGCCTGCTGACCAATCAGAGCTCCGTGTGCGGAGTTTAAAGCTATCAAGTCATATTACAGGATAGAGGAAATACAGAAAAACTGCCGTTGCAGGAAAGACGGCCGGCAAAAATCAACTGACTGTATGAACGTGAAAATTAATAGAATATCCCCTCCCATCTTCAGAGCAATCTGACTATTATAACATTAGCGTTAAGAAAGCTTACTTAAATATCTGCCACGACATAAGTAACCGGATCAGAGTAACATTAAGTACAGTCCGCGGCACTGTGAGTGCAGACGTAGATGTGTCCCATTATCATTCATATCATATCACATCATAATGTATCATATATTTCCTTATTTGAGTCAGCTTCTTGAGCCGTATCTGGCCGTGCAACACTCACAGTGTCACATACTGTATGCAGAAGTATTATTTTAAGCAACACATTAAGTTGACGAAACACTCGAGTCAAATGTAATTAAAGTCAGATCCACTCGTGTCTTGGACGGGGCAGTGATTTCATAAACCTGTTAATGTACGCATTCAAACACTTTTTCTTTTACCAGCTGTATTCACCTTGCAGGTGCAGCTATGTGGCTTTTATCCTGGATAAAGTGTTTAAGTCATGGATGTTTAAGTTTAACTTCTTCATATTTGACTAATATTAAAGTTCACTTTTCATTCAGGAAGTATGACGCTGCGCTGTCAGTACGCTTGTCCATGTTTGAGATTGGTCGAATGCTCCAAATACCTCCCCTTTCATGTGAACGCGCACCTAACTAGATAGGACACGGCTGGCTTGAGCGATCCACTTGATAACCAGCGTCGTAGTACAGTTTAGCCAGAGCGCGTATGTTTTGGATTGGGCCAACCGGCTAACTCAAACATATCCAGGTTAGGAAAATCCGGCTTCGTAGTACAGGCCTCAGATCATATTTCCTGCAGAGCTACAGAGCTGCTCTCTGTTTCTCATTTCTGCAGGTCCGCTGAACTCCTGGTGAATATCTGAGTGTTTTCCACTGAGCCGGCCTGCGGTGAGTTAAACTGCCGGTGACTTCCCTGAGTGACGGATCAGGTTCCCCAACAGCCCCCCTCAAATAAAAATGTTACTGCGGGGTCGCTACACTACACATGTGCAACACTTTCTAAATCTAAACTGTGGTTAGGACCATGATGGGAGGCTGACATGTTAAGAGACATGGAAACTGTAGTTTGTTCTTCAGGGCTTTCAGATTAAATTGTAATCTTTCAATATGTTTTCATGTGCAATAGCAGCTGTAATAGAGAGGTGCAGTGATGACATATTTCCTAGTGGACCCTGAAGGCAGCATATCCCATGTTCCCAGCTCAAAAAGCCAATGGGATTTTCCCATTTCACCCAGTAAAGTGAGTGCTGCTCCACCTGATAAGAAAAGATGACAGATGCAGATTCTGCCTGAAGCCAGTTTTTATCTCTGAGACTCACTTGACTCCGAAGCGATCCATGAACATCACGTGGTTTCTGAAGGTGCGGTTGATGTCCAGGTCGATCTGTTTGATCTCAGCCGAGCACAGCAGCGCCTGCTCCTTCATTTTCTGAAGAGGCAACCAAAAATATTTGTATAGGTTAAAACCGGTTAAAACATATATATCTGATCTGATTTTACTGACAGATTTCAGTTTTCAGATAATACATATTTTATTATCTTTCATTATCTATTTTAATTATAGAATAAGCTGACCATTATTTTCTGGTTGATTTACAAGTAACTCAAAAGCATTTTTGAAAATAAATTGTATTTGTTTGATCTCATATCTACATCAATGGATATGAATTGTAAACACACCAAGGTTTACTTTTACATCAATCCAAATAATTAAATATATAATTGTTATATTTGTATTCGTGTAACTTGTTTGTATATTTTGTAATTTTGTTAGAAACTTTCAAAATATTTTGGAGTTTAAACGTTTCTTTTTTGCATTTGTGGAAAGTGTTCTAAATTAACTGATTAGATATGTACACATTTATTGTCAATCTATTCACACAAGTAACATTGACACAAATGTACCTCCATAAAGTGTGTGTGTGTGTGTGTGACTGTTTGTTAGTCTGGACCCCAGGAAGAATAGCCAACGCTCAGACTAATGCTAATAGTTTAAAAACAAAGACACATGTCCTCCATCTCCTCTTTTTATCTAAACTCCTCTCACACACTTCCTGCTAACATCAATAACATGATGTTATTAAAGTACACACACACACCTCGTACTTCCCCTCGTTCTCCTTCTTCTGCCGCTCCACGTCCAGCATCAGAGCCCAGGCTCGTCCTCTCAGCTGCAGCGGGACGCCTTTATACACCCGCTTCACCATCTGAGACATCATACACACAAAGAGAATATCAAATAAATAAACAGACGGTGTAGATATCTGAATCTGCGAAGCGTGAGTCAGAAAGATTATACACCTACGACCAAATCCACAGGTACAAAAAACATTTAATTTTGAAACTATTTCACTGAGCATACAGATTAGTAGGTTTGTGTGTGTGTGTGTGTGTGTGGTTGTGTGTGTGTGTGTGTGTGTGTGTGTGTGTGTGTGTGTGTGTGTGTGTGTGTGTGTGTGTGTGTGTGTGTGTGTGTGTGTGTGTGTGTGTGTGTGTGTGTGTGTGTGTGTGTGTGTGTGTGTGTGTGTGTGTGTGTGTGTGTGTGTGTGTGTGTGTGTGTGTGTGTGTGCTTTTACTGGCTGCAAAAGTGTGGAAATGGTTCATTTAAATCATCTGAAAATACTCAAATGAGTACTTTCATTTTATTATTGTTTCCACAGTTACCATTTGTCTCCATCGTTGAGCGACAAAGTGTTTATACCCAGAAACAGAGCTTCATTCACACAAACTACACACATCATGGACTGCACACAAAGAGATGAAATAGATAGAAGGACAAACCAATGACTGTATCTGTCCTTGTAAGCTTTTTATAGGTTTGTAAATGTTGTAAATTAGGTTTTCCTCCTCCAAATATCTTCTAGTTTCATATTTTACGAGTGACGTTACAAAAGGCAAGCCTCGGTTAAGTGTAATTTGACTGTTGACACAGTTGTGGTGAGCAAATGGAAACACGAAAACACTTTGCATACTTGTCAGCAATTATGTGCACTTTCCAAGAAGATTATGGTGTGTGTGTGTGTGTGTGTGTGTGTGTGTGTGTGTGTGTGTGTGTGTGTGTGTGTGTGTGTGTGTGTGTGTGTGTGTGTGTGTGTGTGTGTGTGTGTGTGTGTGTGTGTGTGTGTTGTTCCTCACCCTGTCACTGTTCTTGTATTTGTCCCACTTATTCACCATCTTCAGCCACTTCTCCACCCTCTCGATCTCCAGCTGCTTCCTCTGAGATGGAGACAGACACAGGTTATTACTCAACAATACTAATGCAGGTTTTATGGGTGTAACAAAAAATGTAATTATAATTTTACTTATGAGATTTACTAAGGTTAGATCAACTCAAAATAAATTAGTTTAATTGGAGGGCTGCCGTTTGCTTGACTTTCCTCCTTTTCTTCAAAAACCTCTGTGGGACTCAGGTGGAAGTCCATTCTTTGGTATAATGTGTCTTTGTATTCAGAACAGAGAGAGAATTCAGAACGTA